TACCTCACGCACTGAAAGCCCTGCTTCAGGTAGAGCCTCAGCTGTGCTTACGACTGAATCGGCTTACGTCTGCGCCATTGTGTGTCAAAAGTGTTGGGTTTATACGCCCGGACATTTAAATATTCATGCAAGTCGATATGACTTTGCATCTAAACATCTTTGCGCTCAATATGCATGCGAGTGTGAGGTGTCTGCATACTGTGTTTGTGCATTTATGCATGTGCCAAAAAAGAGCTAATACAGTCCCAGCTCTCAGTCTGGATTATGAAGCTTTCCAGCAGGTTTCTGGGGGGTTTATGTCTAAAATCCTAACTAGAGAGAACCCACAACAGCCAATTACACTGTCTCTAGGGCAAAAGTTTGCGTGTGTGCGCGTGTTTCTTTCATTCGAAAGGTATTACAGGCGCATACACATTCAGAGAGAGTGAATGTTAAAGTGGAGCTGGCATCTGGTGCCACTCAATTAGCTGTAGCCTGCTTGCCAATAGCCAGAATCCATTTAACTGCCAGCACAGAAGCATGAGTAAGCACACACACTCTCTCCTCTAAGAAGCAAACACAAAACAGTGACAAGATGACTCTCAACAGACTCACAAACACATCCCTGGTTGTTTTCTAGCATAGACTTTAGTTTAAAGCGTGCGCCCCTTCATCTGCTTCTCTTTTGTTTTCCTCTGTCCACATCAGACATGAGTTGGTAAAGCAGGAGCAACACACACACACACAAAAATACAATTTAATACATAACATGATCTACAAGTTAGTACTAACATGTATTCCTCTGGGAACTGATTTAATTTAGCATTATGGCATATTTCACCATTAAATTGACGACGCTATAAAATAAAGTCGTGACTCTTCATCCTGACACTTTATCCTGTTGTCACCTGAACTCCTCTTGCACACAGCTGCTCACGTTCCTTTAAAATCTCTTCTCAGCATTTAATATTTGTGCTTATTACCCCCTTGTTTGTCATAAAAGAAGGTAAAATTTGTTAAAGTTTAGATCTACAGTAAATGCAGGAAAAACATGTTATTTATTTATTAGCTTTTTAAAAAATGACCTGACCTCCTACTATTTTGGATGTAACAGCCAGCAATGTTCAGAGGTTCAGAGGCAGCTCTTGTCTTACCAGATGCAACTTTGATCATTTTCAGTGATTCTGATAAGATACCTCTGTGATAGCCTACATTCAATGTGCTAAATGGTCTCAGTTATACTTTTCGAACACGTGAATCCACCGAGGTCCACTCATGTCCAAATGATGTAAATTTCATCATCAGACGTGAGTGTGAGGGTCTGTTTTCTATATATACAATGCACCAAGTACTCATCCGCCCTCTGTCGAGGATTTTAAGCGAACTTCACAGAAGCATAACAGGAATAATCGCTCAGCTGTCATATCTCCAGCTATTTTTGGCTTCCCTTCATTGGCTTCCTGTTAAATCCAGAATTGAATTCAAAATCCTGCTCCTCACATACAAGGTCTTAAATAATCAGGCCCCATCTTATCT